GGTTAACCAAGACCATTCCCAATCCATGAGAATCTAACACCCGGCTTTCGATGAAATCGACAAATTTGGGACTTTGAGGCCCAGATGCCATGAGTCACAGGGCTTTATATGTTTTATGTCCTCAGTTTTCCAGCCACTTCATGCCAAAGGATATGTTAACCCGTAGCAATTTTCTCTAATAAGTTCTTTGAGTGTTGAATTCACTTTGGTTGTTCTCACAGCAGATAATGTAACCGGTAACCACACACTGTGTGCCATGATTGGTTGTAGCAAATCGTTTTCTGTGGTGTTGCCCTGAAAGCACTGGGGTACAAAAGACAAGGTTACCGTAAGAATGCCTAACAAATCTTGTACACATGACTCTTGACAGTTGAGAATTGTTGAGGTCCCTCTTGGGTATGACAAGTGGCCATGTATTGTGTCGTTTTAAAAAAAGGCAAAATTTTCGGCCAGTATAGAGTACAGAAGTGTGATGCCATTTTGAACCAGACATTGTAGTGCAAATGAATGGCATACGTGCGTGTGTTGGTTCACGCGCTGGTTCTCATGCCTTTGACTCTCATAATTGTGCATGTGACATGTTCACTTCAGTACTCTACAATACCACACCAGGGGCTGATTTGTTGTGAAATGGTACCATCGGTAAGTGATAAAATGCAGAGATCATGCCAATGGCACTAAATGGTTTAGTAGATTCCTGAAGGTCTCTTAATTTCTTTGCCCTGCACCTGTTACCGGTACATACATGTACATGGACCAATATCAACTCTTTAATATTCAACAGTGGATTAACAGTCTGAAAATAGAAATGTCAAGGTGTCTTTCTGTATGTCAAAATAAAGGAAATATGGACATTAATGTCCATGGATAAAATATCAGAAACTGACAACCAAAGTTCCGATGTTTCAGCTGAAATCATCTGCAGGCAGCAAAGTGTTATTGAGCCATCTGTTGTACTTCAACTTTGCATTTAAAAATGCCCAAATAGCCTGCTGTCGGGCACAAAACAAATGACATTTCTGACATTTTTAAGGTTCATAGAGTTTTTTGGTTTGGTTGAGCCTTGCAGTCAAAAAAAGACATTTTGGTCCAGCTATTTGAATTTAGATTCAGCAGGCTTTACAATTGACCTAGGTTAGATTTGGTAATTTGCAACGTGGCACAACCCCCAACCTCTACCCCCCAAAAATTACTTTTGTTTTGGAATCAAGAAATCTCAAGGCAAACAGTAATGTATTTTATTCACCTGCGAACTGAAATGTTACACTTAATGCTGCCCATTCATTAGTATAAGCAAAGTCAAAGTTTTCACACACCGAATGGCCAAGGAACTCAGGTTCCGATATTGGCCAGTGCTGGCACACTTGTCCTTACACATTTACTCAGGTTAAACCTCATTTAAATATCCACACATGCAGTTTTTCATGTAGATTCTGTAAACCCATGTTTTACATACTTGTTCTTGAAACCCAGGCCACTCGAGCTTATAAGATAGAAATGCTAGTGTGCACAGCAACCAATGTGACTTCACAAGCTTTGAGGCAATGAGGTTGTTAAGTATTGCAAGTCCAGTCACCGCAAGTCCATGGATACAAATCCATCACAAATCTCCAAGTCTCATGGAATGTGACGAAGCATACATGTTCATTTTTCGTAGTTCA